GATACATGAGGAAGGGGAAGAAGTGGGCTGTATGTGGTCAGGATTTTCCATGGAGGAGGTGCTGCCCAGTGGATGGATGTGGCAGCTGGAAGCAGGTCACCAGGGTCCTTGGAATGGGGGGAAGGACGGATGCAGTCTGCCTGGAATGGAGAAGCAGCAGGAAGAAACAGAGAAGTGCTGGAGCTCGGGCTCCACTGGCAGCCTCAGAGCTGCCACTCCTTTGCCCCAGGACCTTAAACCAAGTGTTGACCTCAGCATCCCCTTCCGCAAAGACGGACAAGATGGTTGCAATGGCATTAGCGATTATTATCTTTATTGTCATGTAATGGTCTAGAACAGTGGTCTCCAACCGGTGGTCCATGAGATCTGAAAGGTTGGCGACCGCTGGTCTAGCATACTGAACTACAGGCAAAGATCTTGGCCTTTCCTTTAGCTTTTTGCCATGTCTGTGCCTCTCTTCACACGGACATCTGCATCTCATTCTGCTCTTCTCATTGCTGCCCGACCTTTGCTAAGATTCAGCCTTTGCAGGCAGCCAGGTCTGGGTTCAAATCCCAGCATCGCCATTCTCAGCCTCTTGCCCTTGGGCAAGTCATTCCCTTGTTCAAACCTGAGCCTCAGTTTTTCCTAAATTGGAGCAGGAATAGCAGGCAGTTAGTTAATAATAGCAGGTGATGGACTCTCATACCTGGATTAGGAGGACTCCTGGGTTTGATGGCTGTAAAGCACGTAGCACCATGCCTGGCACATGGTGAGTGGCGGGTGATAGAAAGAACAGCCGAGGGCACAGGGCAGGGAAAGTGAGGATGGGGACCTGGGCAAGAAGGAATGACAGGTGCTTGGGCCTGTGAGTGGGAGGGAAGGGCTCCTCCGATCAGCTGCCGGGTCTGGCTGCATTGACAATGCAGGTGCAGGGAGGGGTATTTGCTGCTCATTTGTGTACGAAATCCGTTCTAATTCCTTTCTGTCTTTGAGGCTTCATGGCGGGCACTGGTCACACCAGTCAATGAGATGGAGCCCCCAAAACTAAACAAATAGTTATGTAATTCTTATATCCTGATGATCACCCTGTTAGTACAAACCGTGAGAGGCACTGCTGTGGAGCAGAAATGCAGGTACCGTGGGAGAGACTAACTCGGGCAACTCAACCGAGATTGGGGTGGTCAGCGAAGGCCTCTCAGAGGAGGTGCCATTGTGGCTGGAATCTGAAGGGTGAAGAGCTGACTGCTGGCTTAAGGATGGAAGGGAATGTGTGTGGAAAGGCCCTGAGGAGGTCAGTTTTGGTTTGGTTTCCAGAATTAAATTGTAACTGAATCAGTGAGGGACTGGGGAGAGAGATGGGAAGATGGGACGAGGTGGGGCTGGGGAGAGGCAGGGACCTGCAGCATCTTGGAGGCCATTGCTGGGAGCCAAGAGCCTGATGGGAGGGGAAGGGAGATGGGAAGGGAGAAGGGCTTGGTGAGTGGGTACCCCAGGAACATATGTGCAAGTCACATGGCCTGGAGGCAGCAGCTCCCCTCCCCCAGGGCCCCCCCGGAAGGTGTAGATTGCCCAAGGTCCACCTCCAGGGGCGGGCATCTCTGTCTTGCTGTCCCCACTCCCCCAAGGCAGGAGCAGGAACCACACTTGTGGCTGCCCCAACCAGCTGGAGGTCAGGCAGTCTACTCTGTGGGGCAGAGTGGGTGGGGTTGCAAAGAAAACACAAGCTTGTCAGCAGTGATTTCTCCCAGCTAAGGCAGCCACCATCAGCTTCCTGCAGAGCTGGGCCTACTCAGCCTCACTCTCTACAGCTGGAGATGGAGGGGAGCAGATGGCCCTGCTTGGCCCAGATTCCAGCCAGATTGCCAGGGAGTTGTGGGCAGAGCGACGGGTTGGCGCCGGGAGCTGGAATGCACAGGAGGAGAGCGGGAGCCGCCTCTTTGCCATTGCCGTGGGGTCTCGCCTCTATGAGGGGGAGAGTGGAGACATTGACCATGGCTCACTGTGGTCCTTGAATCAGCAGCTGCTCAGAGTCCCCTGGAGAGAGGTGGCCTCTGTCATTTCCAACCACACGGAGAGCTCTTGGGAAATACAAGGTGTCAGTGGTTATATTCCCAGCTCCCAGCACAGGGTGGGGCCAGGCAGGAGCTCAGTGGATTCTGTTTTGTGTTTATTTATAGAAGAAATGATAGTAATAGCTCTCAGGTGTTGTGTTACTTAATCCTCATAGCAACCCCACAAAGGAGGTGCTGTGTGACCCCTTTTACAGATGAGGACACTGAGGCACAGAGAGGAGGAATAACTTGCCTGATGCCAAAACCAAACAAATGCATGAGAACAGATTGGGTCATTCTACCAAACTGATGGTCAAGCCCGGGAGCTGGGGATTTGGGGGCAGAGAGCAGCCCTGAGGATGGACAACGAGAAGACGTGGTAGATGATCCTGACTGAGGGGCAGAGCATGCCCCCGCTTTGTGTTCCCTGAGCCTCAGTCCACCCCTGAGACCCTGCCAAGCCAGCCCCCTCCACTGTGTAAGGTGCTCAGCTAGCAAGCCATGATCCTGGAGCGGTAGGGAGACAGGCTGGCTGGGCTGGGCTGAGCAGGCTGTACACTGCACAGCTCCAGAGCAGGCGGTCCACATGCCGATTGCATAATTCCCCTGGAGTTATGCAAGGTGGTGGCCCTGTGAGTGGGACCACACCATGCAGGACCCAGAAGCAAGCCTTGACCAGCGTCTGTAAGGGCCAGAGAGCAAGCATTTCAGGCTGTGTGGGCCATAGGTCTCCGTGGCCACTCAGCTCTGCTGTTGTGGGAAGAAAACGGTCCTAGGCAATACATAAATGAGTGCGTGCAGATGGGTTCCAATAAAACTTAATTTACAGGACCAGGCTGCTTGCCAGATTTGGTGCATGGGCCATAGTTTGATGACCCCAGCGAAGGCCACAGAAGGATTCTGACTGAACTTCATCCTAAGAACCACATGAAGCCACAAGAGGTTTTTGAGCAGAGAGTGAGAGGAAGCAAATTTACAATTAATATGGCCCTGCACGCCCAGGGCAATGTTCCTTTTATTCTCTTCTGGATCCCTGAGCCCTTCAGTCTACAAGGAGAGGGACCTGGGGACCCGAGGGCCTCGGAAGCTTAAGGAGGAGAGGCCATTACTATCCATTCTCCACCCACCCTCCTCCCCACGCCAGCTCTCAGCACAGGTCTGGCCGCTCAGCAGGGCTCCAGCGATGCTGTTTCCCATTCCTGGCCTCAGGGGCAGAGCGGGGCAGCCCTGTGCTCACCAGCCTGGGCTCTGAGGTCAGAAGGTTGGATTTCCTCCACTTGGCCGCGTTCGGCTGTGAGCTGCACTTTCCTGACACACACACACACACACACACACACACACACACACACACACACACACACACACACACACACCGTCTCCTCCTCTTCTCCGTAAGGGGAACAGTGAGATGTGAATCCAGGAAAGAGAGAGGGTCTGCAGAGCCCTGGGGCATCGGAAGGACTCGAGAAGAAGACACTGTTGATAGGATAACCGTGTTTCTTGATGAACCACCAGAGCCTGGGTGGTGGGGTCTTGGCTCCAGGAGCTGTGCCCAGAGCCAGGCTTTGAGCCAGAGCAGAAGTGGAACCATGGAGGGGACCTTGGTTCATGAGCAGTAAGGGCTCCTTAGAGATGGGTGAGTAGTCCCACCTCTTGGGCTGAAAATAACTGCCTGATGTTGGAGTAATTGCATGTCTTGGGCTCCCACACAGCACGGAGAACACCCCGATAATTAACGCGTTGTCCACAGGCTACTTTTGGCAGCTGAACCTTAATTTCTGCCTCAAAGAGCGTCTCCTGGACAGGCAGCCTGGCCCACCCCCACCTCCATGGGGTGTGAACCTGTGTTTTGTGTGAACAAGACCTTCTTGAGCAAGGACATAGCAGCCACCTCTCCCCAAAGGGCATCGCCCAGCCCGGGCACCCTCACTGGCACATGGACAGGCTGGGCCTTAGTGATCAGTGGCTTTGCCAGATCATCTCCTCTCAGGACCCATAGGCTGGGACCAGTGACCAGGTCACCCGTGACTTGCAGGAGGGCCTCACGGGCCGCTTATTACAGACACAAGCCATCTGGGGCCAGCACCAGAGGGTGGCCTGGTGCTCAGAGATAGAGTCCGTGTCCTTGGACTGGTGCTCAGAGATAGAGTCCGTGTCCTAGGGGGCTGCTGATCAGGCCCGGGTCCTGGGAGGGCTGTTGAGGATTTCCTGTGTCAGGCCTGAGGGAAAGAGCAGTCAGTGCTGTCGCCACCCTGCCCTCTCGGGGCTTAGTGTCCTGTGGCAGACAGAGCCGAAGCCCATAATTAGGTATGTGATTGTCATTGTGATAAGGTTATACATGGGACACATAGGAGTGGTGGGTGTATATAATGGGGGAGTGCCCCCATCTGGGAATTTGAGCTGAGACCTAAAGGATGAGGAGTGTGTGCAGGTATGTATGTGTGTGTGCGTGTGTGTGTGTGTGTGTGTACACGCGCGCACATATGCTAAAAATGGATGCATGGATGAGGGTGGATGGATGGATGCTTGAGTTCTCCAGGCAGTGGAAACAGGCTATGCAAAGGCTCCGAGGCCAGAGGAAGTATGGTGACTGTGGAAGGTGTTTGGAGCCTGGAGAGGCGAGGAGGTAGGAGTGCTGTGTACAGCTGAGTGTGCTGAGTGCTGCACTGCTCGGGGGGGCCAGTCTTATAGACCAGACTGTGACGGGTGCCCGCTGGAGCTGTGCAAGAGGGAGGCTGCAGGCAGGGAAAAACCAACGTGAGGGCTTTTGACTTTTTTCCTAGAGCAATGGGGAGCTGTGGAAGGGCTTCAGCAGTTGGTGATGGGACTAAGGCCCACTTATCATGCCCCGAAGCAGGATGAACAAACACGGCCCTTTGTGTCAGGGAGCATGGGTCTCCCCGGGCCCCGCTGCCTACTCCACACCCAGCGTGCAGTGGACGCTCACTCCTGTCCCCTCTGTTGCAGTGCGCTACTTCCTGAAGAACAAAGTCAGCCCGGATTTGTGCAACGAGGACGGACTCACAGCCCTGCACCAGGTAAGGCCGGGCTGGCAGGGGTCCCCAGCTCCCTGCTTCCCAACTGGACAGGCACCCTGTCTCCCTGCTTTTTCCTGCCCAGAACCCGCAGGAGGGAGGGAGGGAGGGGGTGCCACAGCTGCCCCGTTTGAAAGGCTTTTGTCTGCTTCCGAGACGTGTGTGTCTGTCACGGACATGCCCACAGAGCCCCCGTGCACGCTCACGCAGCGTACGCACGGACTCCGAGGACAGGGAGCCTTTGTCCACTGCGTCCTCACTTCCCAGCAAAGGGGTTGGCAAAACAAAGCCAATCTGTTTGGAGGGTGACGGTTTATGAAGCATGTTTGTGCACACCCACTGTGGCATGCACCCGTCCTGCTGACAGAGGTGATTGGCAGAGGGCTTGTGTGATCTGCTTGAGAGCGATAGCCATGTAGCATCTTTTCCAGGGCAGTGTGTCGGGCGCAGTCCCTCTGGCTGGGGAAGGGCTGCCGGCGATCGGTCATCTCTTGCCTGGATGCCGCATCGGCCTCCTCACTGACCCCCAGCCTTTTGCTGGTCCTTCCATGATTCGTTTTCACAGCGACCACGGGAATGCTGAAGCCAAACATCTCCTGGAGTTACTCAGAGCGCTCAGGGGTCTTCCTGCAAGGCCCCAGGAGGCCTGGCCCCAAATGGCCTTTTGGTTCTTTTGCAACACACAGTGCTGATCCGTCCACACTTTCCCACATGCGCTGGACACCCCCAGTGGACACAGGAGCTTGAGAGCTGTGTTGCTCTGTACACATTCTTTTCTCCTGGGCACCCCTTTTATGTATCATTTTAGCCGTTAGTGCGATCATTTGATATTGGTTCTCCCCCACCCCCACCCAATCCAGGCTCTGAGCTGCACAAGGGCTGAGCCCATGGCACTTGCTCAGTGGTGTATCCCAGCATCTTTCCCCATCCTGGCATTCAGTAGGCGCTCAATATGTGCATGCCAACATAGTGAGTGAACACACGGATGCCTTCCTGTGCCCTGGCCCACATTTCTGAGCAGGGGGAAAGCTAGGCTGCTAGAAGCCTGGGTTGGTGAGAGCCTTCCATCTCCCTATGAGGGCAGGAAGAAGTGGGCAGACACTGACCACTGCCCTGCCCATCAGCCCCAGGGGCAAGTCTCCACATTCATCCTTCAGCCCAGTGGCCTCCTGGGTGTCCTCCAGGCTGCTCCTCGTGTCCCTCCCGGGTGCCTCACTTTCCTCGTCTGTAAAAGAGGAGTAACAAGTACCCATCTCATTGGGTTGTTACATAAAAACCCCGTGGACATCACTTGGTACTGGATAAATATTAGATATTATTGTTATTATTATTAGAATTTGCCACTAATGTTCATTGGAATTTGCCACTCATGTTCATTTCTCTGTAAGGGCACTTCCCTTATGTGATGTGTGGGCTGATTCTCACAGTGAACTTCTGAAATATTATGCCATTTTACAGCTCAGGAAACTGAGGCTCAGGCATAGCACTGTGTCACAGAATTTCCCATGATGATGGGACCTTCTGCGTATCTTCCATGTTCAGTGTGGTGGCCAGCAGCAACCGCGGGTATCGAATCCTCAAAATGTTGCTCTGAGGATGAGACTAGGCAAGGCATGGCGGGGGGTTAGCAAGGTGCCTCCTCAGTACCTCCTCAGAAACATCAGCTCTCCTTATGGATGCCTGTAGCCTGTGGTTCTTGCTGCTGTTTCCAAGGCGGTCGTTATTGTTGTCATTGTTATTGTCCCTGTTGCTCCGGTGCAGCAAAGGAGCGCATTAGGGAAAGCTTCCGGTGCCTGCAGAGGAGTGCGCATTTGCTTCGCTTGGCAACCGGGAGCCTTCACTTGGCAACTGAGAGCAACTTGCCTGGATTAATGAGGAACCTCTCTCCCAGGGAGGCTGTGTGAAAGGGGAGCGGCAGCTAGGCGAGGAGAGGTGGTGAGGCCTCGGCAGCCGGGGCAATGGGATGGGGCATCAATGATGAGATGGTGTCCACACCCGGTGGAAGATTGGACATGGGCAGTGAGGGGGCAGAAGGTCATCTAGCTGCCAGGTGCCCTTTCCCCCCCGTGGAGAATGCAGGAGGGGAGGCCTGCCGGCTCTTCTCCCCCGCCCCCCCACCTCCGCCATTGCATCCCTGTGCCCAGCCCCCAACCCCAACCCAGCGCTAGCTCAGACTAATCTCCCAGGTTCAGGCTGCTCTAGCCCCTAGACTGCAATTCTGAGTGTACAGTCTTCCTCTTCAACTTGAGGCTCCCTCCCCCCATCCTCATGTTGTCTGAGCCCCTAAGGGTGGGATCTCTGGCTCTCCTATCCCCCAACCCCAGGGACCGGCTGCTGCTCCTCTTAAGGTTGGGGAGTGTCATCCGGTGACAGCCTGGGGCTCCTTGCCCCCCCCCCCCCACACACACACACCTCACTCCGGGGCCTCTGGCGCCCTCTGCCGGCCGCACCGCACCACTGCATGCTTCTCCTCACCACCTGAGGATCTCCCGGCCTCACGGAGTTCCCTGGGCCCCACTGTTAGGACAGATGCCCCAGACCCCGCCAACCCCACACTGGCTGGCGCAAAAGGAGAACCTGGGTCTCTAGCACCACCTGTGCCAATGACTGTTCCTTTCCCACACGTTTTGGCGCTGAGCCTTGGCTCCGTGAGGTGTGGGTGGGGGCTGTGGAGCTGACCCATCTCCACCCCCTTTCCCACACCCACCTGGGGCCAGGGCTCCCACAAGTGCCCCTCTCATTCTGCTGGCATCCAGGCACTTTGCCCCGTGTGGGCCAGGCCACCACCCTCTCTTAACGGGAAGATTTCAGCATACCTCCTAACATCCTTCCTCTTCCCAGAGAAGCTGCACTTGCAATCTGTTCTCCACGTGCAACCAGAGCAGGGATTTAAAAAGCCAGTCAGCTGTGCTTTACCTCTGAGTATACCCCTGCAATGCTGTCATTGCGCTGAAGGCCACGCCCTTACCTGGATGAGCATCACTGAGCACAGCTCCCCCGACTTCTCCTGCAGCCTGTCTTCCTCCTCTGTCCTCGCCTCTCCTGCCAAACCCCTGGCTTGAGGCCTCTCTGTCCCCTTGGACTCTCACTCTCTGCCTCTGGAGTTAAGGGCTCCAATGACTGCTGGACCCCTAAGTCTAGGTGAGGGGCTGCCAGCTCCTGCCCTTCCCTCTCTCAGATGCCGACCCACGTGTGAACAGGCAGGAGCACACACATGGCTGTCTCCTCTCAAGGACTACCGGCCTTTGAGCTGAGCTGGGTTCTTTTACGGAGAGGGTTGGTTATTGGGGGTTTCCCCACAAATGGAGCTCCTGAGTCGTGTCTCATTCCACTAACACTCTCAAAGTCTTTTATCGTTGACTTTATAAAAAATATTATCTTCATATTATTATCCTGTATGTTATTCACTTACAAAGAAGCGGGCTCAGAAAGGCTAAGTGGCTTGCCCAAGTCCACACAGCGTATAACACTGGAGCTGGATTCACTCCTAGGCAGTTTGACTCCTCTGTCCTTCTCGTGGCCACTTGAGGGGAACTGGGGTGTCTCCACCAGGGCCTGGGGCTTCCCGGGAGCTGACCCTGCCTGTGTCCCCTTCACAGTGCTGCATCGACAACTTCGAGGAAATTGTCAAGCTGCTCCTTTCCCACGGTGCGAACGTGAACGCCAAGGACAACGAGCTGTGGACGCCCCTGCATGCCGCGGCCACGTGCGGCCACATCAACCTGGTGAAGATCCTCGTTCAGTAGTACGTGCCCCTCTCTTCCCCGAGAACAGCCTCCCCTCTGCCTTTGTTTTTTTCCAAGTTCTTCTTACCCCCATCTCTTTCCTTTTCCCTCTTTTTTTTTCTCTCTCTCTGCCTCCATCTCTCAGTGCCTGCCACTTTCTCTTTCTCCCTAATCCTGTTTTCATCTCTGTCTCTTCCTCTCTTTGTTTCTGCCTCTCTCCTCCTCTTCTCCCAATTCCCATTTTTCTCTCCATCTCTGTGTGCCTTTGTTTTTCCCTTCTCAATGCCCGTCTCTCCTTCACTCTTGGTCTCACTCTGTCTTTTCCATTCTGTCCCTCTTCGTTATCTCTCTCTCCCCCTTCATACTCTCCCCACCCCCAGATTTTATTGCAGTAAAAATACACGTGACATAGAATTTATCATCCTAACTATTTTTTAAAAATATATTTTATTGATTTTTCTTACAGAGAGGAAGGGAGAGAGATAGAGAGCTAGAAACGTCGATGAGAGAGAAACATCGACCAGCTGCCTCCTGCACACCCCCCACCTGGGATGTGCCCACAACCAAGGTACATGCCCTTGACCAGAATCGAACCTGGGACCTTTCAGTCCGCAGACCGACACTCTACCACTGAGCCAAACTGGTTTCGGCTCATTGTAACTATTTTGAAGTGTACAGTTTAGAGGCACCAGGTACATTTGCGTTCTTGTGCAACCATCACCACCATCCATTTCTAGAACCCATTTTCCCAAACTGAATAGCTCATCTTCCCATGAACAATAGCAGTAACTACCATCTCACTTTCTGTTCCTATTGTTTTGACTACCCTATGTACCCCATCTAAGTGGAACTGTATAATATTTGTCTGGCTTACCAGAGCAGGAAGCTGGGGGGGAGGGGGTCTGTTGGGACAACTCTCCTAGGGTTTTGGCCTCTTTGCATCTGGGATTCCCAGGATGCCGAGTCCCTGTCCTTGCCAGGGTACACATTGGTGGGATGCACCGCGGGGTAGTGGATGTGAGGCCGGAGGACAGAGGCAGACAGACCAACCCTCACACCCACCTGGCCCTCAGCCTGGCCCTCTCTCCGCAGTGGGGCCGACCTGCTCGCTGTCAACTCGGACGGGAACATGCCGTATGACCTCTGCGAGGACGAGCCCACCCTGGATGTCATTGAGACGTGCATGGCGTACCAGGGTAAGAGCGTGGCGCGTGCTATCAAGTGGGCTCAGGGTAGCGTTGCAGCGAGCATCTCTTTGACTTAAACCAATGCAGGCGAACAGGTTAGCAAGCTGCATACCTGCCTGCTCCTGCCCTGTGCTCAGGAAGTGGGATGGACCCCCCGTTATTATTATTATTACCATGTGATTAACAAGATGAGGACACACGCTGTGCAGAGGGGAGGCATTGTTCTCCTCTGCGTCACCCCCACATGTGGGCAGCCTCAGCTGGCCTCGTCTCCTCTTCGTCAGCTGTGATAATTCAATAAACATCGACAATAAAGATATATTCCCACTTGGGAAAATAATAAAAAGTCAGGAACATTCGCAGGTGCCTGCCAGGCACTGTGAGGGCTGCCAGGGGCCGGGTAAACAAGATGTGGGCTGTTCTCAGTCACAAACGACCTTCAGAGAGGAAACAAATGGAGCAACCAGAGAGACCTGCCCTGTCCCCATACAGACTCGGAGCTCCTTCTCTGGAAGGAATCTCAAACCGGGCCCTGGGCTGCAGCCCCGAGGCCTGTCCAGGCCCTGACCGGTGTTTCTTCCCTGGTCCCAGCAATAACTGCTGATCTGCTGTGTCCATTCCCTGGCACCCAGGCTTCACCATTCATCTTCTACAGAGGCTCTCAACAGTTTTTATGCCAATCTTGTGAATCTATGGACCCCTTCTCAGAATGATATCTTTATTTTTTTTAATGTATTTTATTGAATTTTTATTTTTTATTTTTATTTTATTTTTATTTTATTTAGAGGAAGAGAGAGGGATAGAGAGTTAGAAATATCGATGAGATGGAAACATTGATCAACTGCCTCCTGCACATCCCCTACTGGGGATGTGCCCGCAACCAGGTACATGCCCTTGACCGGAATCGAACCTGGGACCCTTCAGTCCGCAAGCAGAAGCTCTATCTGCTGAACCAAACCGGTTGGGGCAGAAGGATATGTTTACATTCAGTTATCAGAATCATCTATAATAATAAAAGCACAATATGCTAATTAGACAGAACGTCCTTCTGTCCTTCTGGACAAAGCTGGGACTATGAGGGAAGTCTGGGTCCCGGGTGCCTGCCAGCAGCTGGGGGAAGGAAGGCCTACTCTTGCACAAATTATAAAGGACACCTACTATATTAAAATAAAACTACCAACATATTTAAAAATGTGTTATCAACAATTTTATTGGTTCATGAAACAATCAGATAACATGACACGCAAATACCTACTGTTTCTGTTGGTGAGAATATCACAGGCACCGCTCATGCTACTGTGGGTTTTGCCTATGTCCTAATAGAAGGAAATGTTCTATTTCATTTAAAGTTTAATAAAAATAATCATGTATATTTTTCTCCTTTCCAGTATGCAGTCTCCCCTGAATTCTATCCAAGAATGTTTGACCTAATGGACCTTTTTATAGAGCATGTCACTCTCTCACTAAATACCATTCATAGCTGCCAGTAGCACTTGAACATTTTAGCGTGAGGTTCAGGCTTTAAAATGTCATTTTATTTAACTCTCAATTTATTTAACTCTCCGTTTGAAAGTTATATGTGGGTGGGCAACAGTAGGTTTACGGTTGTGATTATGTGAAAAACAGAGTTTATTCTTATGTTATTTGTTATTTTAATAATAAATAACATAAGAATAAACTCTGTTTTTAAAGAGTTACTTTCTTTAAAAATTTTTTTTATTGATTTCAGAGAGGAAGAGAGAGGGATAGAGAGATAGAAACATCAATGATGAGAGAGAATTATTGATTAGCTGCCTTCTGCACACCCCCTACCCACAACCTGGATATGTGCTCTTGAACAGAATTGAACCAAAGACCCTTCAGTCCGCAGACCAACACTCTATCCACTGAGCCAGGGCTTACTATATTGCTTTTCATACGAACAACTGTAAACTTATTTTTTCCCACCCTTGTGTCATTAACATAATAAAAACTCATTGAGCCTTGTGCCAGGAGCTACAAACACAACTGTGCACGAGATGAAAAGAAACAAACAAACCCTGGTCAGTCAGGGTGGTCACGGAGGGCTTCTGGGGGTGTGTGTGATCTGGGCTGGACCTAGAGAGTAAGACACAGCCAGCCATTTGGTCAGTTGGAGGTGGGTATGTGGATGGTAGGGGTTTCCAGGAAGAAGAGCAGCATATAGATTAGTAACCGATATCATTACAGTACCTCCTGGGTGCCAGGCAGGAGCGGCCTTTGTTTTATGAGCCAGCACATGTTTGTGTTCATTGAGCCTGGAACACAATGATCTATGGACATGTCTGTTTACCTTCTTGACTGGCAGACCCTGGGGCGCAGACACTTTGCCCTCCCTATCTGCCTCTCCTCCCCATTTTGAAGCCTAAGCCTAAGTGCTGACCAGATCTCCCTCCGCATGTAGGCATCACTCAAGAGAAAATCAACGAGATGCGGGCAGCTCCCGAGCAGCAGATGATTGCAGACATCCACTGTATGATCGCCGCGGGCCAGGACCTTGACTGGATTGATGCCCATGGCGCCACACTGGTGAGGACATGGACCAAAGCCAAAACCGGCCAGAACGGAAGTGGGCCAGCATGTGGTGGAAACCACACCTCTACTGTTGGGGCCTCTGTTTCCTCCCAGCTAGTGTTCTGGCTTCCTTTCACCCTAGTTGGCTGGGAAATTCATTTCTCTCTGCCTCATCTCCTTCTCTGTCCTTCATCCATCCCCATGGTGTGCTTTGTGATCACTCAGAGCTCCCTAAGAATATTACTCAGTTCCTGAGTGTTCATCGTTGCTAAGTAGTTTATGTATTTTCTTGGAGATTGAACAAAGGGGGCAACTAAGGTGACGTCCACCATCGGAGGCCTTGAATGGTGCCGGGTGGAAGAGTTGGGGCCTTAGCATGAAGCTTTCCCTTATTGGATGTATTGGTTACTTTGGCTACATAACAAACTACCCCAAAATCAGCATCTTAAAACAACGTGATATATTTATCATCTCACATAGTTTTGGGAACAGTTTGGATGTGTGGCTCTGGCTTGGGGTCTTTTATGAGGCTGCAGTGAAGATGTCAGTCAGGGCTGCTGTCATCTGAAGGTTTGAATGGGGCTGGAAGATCCACTCCTAAGATGGCTGGCAAGTTAGTGCTGGCTCCTGGCAGTAGGCCCCAGTTTCTCATCTCCTAGAGACTTCTCTTTAAGGCTACTTGAGTGACCTTACAACATGATGGCTGCCTCCTCTAGAGTGATTGATCCAAGAGCGTATAAGGTAGAAACAATAACGTCTTTTATGACCTGGTCTCATATCACACACTGCCCCTTCAAAAGATTCTATTTGTTAGAAGCGAGTCACTCAATCTGTGACTCCACATTCAAGGGGAGAGAAATTAAGCTCCATCCTTTAGCAGGGGTGGAGAATGTCCAACCCATGGAACATATAAGGCCCACGAAATCATTTGGTCTGGGCCTGCCAATGCATGAGGGGTGAGTTAATTAAAATTAGCCTGCTGTTTGACCCAATACAGCAGGCTAATTTTAAGGTAATAATTTTGTGAGGCCCTTGAATGACATTATAGATATCCAAATGATCCATGGTAGAAAAAAGGTTCCCCACCTCTGCTTTGGGAGATGTGTCAGAGAATTTATAAGCATATTTTAAAACCACCATATTGGACCCCTGAGACCTCTTCCACAGGGCTCAGCATGTAATAGGGACTCAGTAAATGCTGTTGGCTTAACCACAGGAGCTCTGAGACCAACTACAGGGGAGAAGAGCTCATCTCTCTGCCTTACCTTCCAGGTCCATATTGCAGCTGTAATCATTCTCTGCAATGTGGCTGGTATTTCTACCTCATTCTGTTCCATTCTTCTGGTCCCAAGAAAGATCTCAGGCTTGGGTTAGGGAGAAGGCTATTCCACCTCCAAATATGGGACTGCCCCCCTTAGGGAATACTCACTTCTTTCCTCTCCTTCAGCTGCACATAGCTGGCGCCAATGGATACCTACGAGCAGCTGAGCTCCTCCTGGACCATGGAGTGCGCGTGGATGTGAAGGACTGGGATGGCTGGGAGCCCCTGCACGCGGCTGCCTTCTGGGGACAGGTAGTTTACACCGCAGGGCTGTGAGCAAGGCCTGCACGGGATCAGCCTGCTGTTCTTGATCTAGCAGTTGGTTCAAAAGAATACACGATCTGCTTAAGGTGTTGACTACAGCTAGTGTATGGGATATGAAAAGACCTAGGGAGTTTGCAAAAACATTTGACAAGCTGTAGTCTAATCCTATATAATAAAGAGCTAATATGCTAATAGTCATTACGCTGTGAGGCTTAACGACTGATCATTAGGAGAGCGGGGCAGCAAGCTATGAGCTGGGGAGAGCTACTGGAGGGCGAGCGGAGCGCTACTAACTGCAGTGGGTCTGCCGGCCAGCTGAGGCGAGGGGCAGCCAGCTACTTGCACAGACTCGTGTGCAGGGCTACTAGTGGGATGATGGTTAAATTTGCCAAATTAGAAAACCCCAGCATTTCTGCTTTGAGTGGTTTCTCCATTTGTTTCCCAGATATAAAACCCTGATTGCAGTTTTTGCAGTCCCTCCCTAGGTACCTGGCAACGCTAGAGTTACAGCTACTCCGTTTTCTTCTGTTCCTTGGTCTAGGCATATTGGAGGTGGTGTCAGTCCATTGCACCCCAGGATTCCTGGCCCCAGGGTTCAAAGCCTTCCCTGGGAGTCAACTTTGCCCCACCGTTCTTAGGGTCACATCCCAAGAGCTCTTGGGCACTTTTTCCGCCTCCTAGGCGTTTTGGGCCCTGGGCAGTGGGAACATGGGCTTCTTCCTGTGTTTCAGATGCAGATGGCAGAGCTATTGGTGTCGCATGGGGCCAGTCTCAGTGCTAGGACATCCATGGATGAAATGCCAATAGGTAAGGCCAGCGCAACACCTGACACACATATAGGCTCTCATCAACTTTTTGATAGGATGAATATATGGTTAGACGGATGCTGGATTGGTGTGTGAATGGATAAATTAATAAATCCATGAATGATAGATTAATGGATGAATGAACAGAGAGATAGATGGATGGATGGATGGATGGATGGATAAATGTATGGCAAAGTGGATGAATGTATGGATGAAGTAGGAAATATAGATGGATGGATAAGAGGATGGATAGATAGAGGACAAAGCTGTGGATGGATGACTGGGACATTGAAAAGGTAAATAGATGAGGGAAAGAATTCGGCAGTGGGGATATACGATTTCAGCTTCTTTGCATAACTTCTTTCTTGGGCTACTGCTTGTTTCTATTGATACTTCTTGTGTCAGTGGAGAGCTGATAAAGCCTAGTGGAAACTATCACAGGTGTATGACTCAGTCAGTCCTAGCTGGGAACCTCAGGAGTTGTGACAGTGTATGGAACCTGGGTTTCCCATTCATAGTCTTCTCTTGAGGATTGGGTTGTAGCCAGGAAATAAGGGTGGCCTTGTTTTCTTTCCTCCCTGCATGCCCCAGAGGATGCTGGGAGTTTTCATTCGGTTGGGAGGGCTCCCAGGGGCCATAGGCTGCCTCCCACCACAGACGCCTCTGCTCTTTCAGACCTGTGTGAGGAAGAGGAGTTCAAGGTCCTGTTGCTGGAGCTAAAACACAAGCACGACGTGATCATGAAGTCACAGCTGAGGCACAAGTCGTCCTTGAGCCGGAGAACGTCCAGCACAGGCAGCCGTGGGTGAGTCAGGGGCCAGGCAGCCAGGGGTCCCCATGCCTCTGCTGCCTGTGGTGCCTCGATGCAGCCTCCAGCACCCCCTCTCTCCCTTCAGGAAGGTGGTGCGTCGAGCCAGCCTGTCAGACAGGACGAACCTGTACAGGAAGGAGTATGAGGGCGAGGCCATCCTGTGGCAGCAGCGGAGTGTGGCAGAGGATCAGCGGACCTCAACCTACAACGGGGACATCAGGGAGACCAGGACAGACCAGGAGAATAAGGACCCAGTGAGTGGCCTCATTCCCTGTCCCAGTGTCAGCCACTGCCTTGGGAGGAGCACCAGGCCCCTCCCTGGTCTGGCCTCTTCCTCTGAGCACCTTCAGGAGGAGGTTAGCTGGGCAGGCCCTTAGACCAGCTAGATCCAGTCTGATGGTGGTGGCTACTGTGGTTCGTGAGGCAAGCCTAGGGTGTGTTGAGTCAGAGCTGGGAGCTTTGGCACCCATCAGGTTCTCATAATCCACAGTGGGTGAGTGTGACCCCCATGTACCAGCTCGTGCTTCGGCAGATCTAATCTGCGCTTCCCAGAAAAGAGGTTCAGTAGGGCAGCCACCCTGGGAGCTGAGGACACTGGAACTTCCGGGGTGGAGGGGATATAACAGGAAGTTGAGAACTGTGTTTACCAGAACACATCTGACCAGAAGACATTTTTTGAAAAGCCGAGTAGGGTACTGGTAGGACCTCTAAGCAGCCTGCCCCAGTGGTAGCCAACTGGGCTTGAGACAGCTCTCCTGAGAAGATGCTCTGTGGGTGTCTAGCACGGCTGTGACCAACTGCTGCAAGCCTGGAGCTTACAACAGCAGACCTTTCTTTCCTCACAGCGCTGGAGGCTAGAATTCTAAACAAATAGGTGTCCTCTCATGTCCCTCTCCCAGCTTCTGGTGGCTCAGGCATTCCTTGGCTTTTGCCAGCATGGCTCCAAACTCCGCCTCGGTCTTCACATGGCCTTCCTCATGTGTGTGTGTCTGTGTCTCTGTTTTCTCGTATTAGGAAGACACTAGTCATTGGATTGGGGCCCACCCCAATGCATAACTTCTTTCTAACTTCTTAGTTAGATTAAGATGGGACCTCATCTTAATCTAACTAATTCCTTCTGCAAAGATCCTACTTTCAAATAAGGTCACATTCAGAGATGTGAAATTGGCATGAATTTGGGGGAACACTTTTCAACTCAGTATTGATACACTCAGGTCCATGCCTGGCTGAGGCTGCCCAGTGGGCCAAGGGTTGGGGCCAGAGCAGAATTGCTGGGGACAGGAAGGGAGAGGTTGGTGTACTAGCAGCGGTCTGCCTTTTTGGTTCCACCACCGCACATGGAGCAACTGGAAGCATTTCTAGAGAGTATTGCCTGGGGGGTGGGGAGATGCAAAGTGATTAGTTGCGGAGTGTGTGCACACATCTCAGTGGGACCCTGCTTCCCCAGGGAGCGGGGAGGTCCCCTGTGGGCTGGTCTCACCAGCAGGAGTGATGGCATTGTGTAAGGGAATCCCCATCAAAGCGGGGGGCTGGGATGGAGAGGGCAGCACAGAGGCTCTGTTCCATCCAGTCCCCAAGCTTGTGGGTTGGGGAGAAAAGAGTTGTAGGCAGAAATCAAATCACATTTCGGATGCCTTATTTTTATTTATACATTTCTTGGGAGATCCCTAGAATCCTAAGCCAGTACAGGGGGACTGCGTCCATTCTTAGTTGCAGAATATTTCAGAACAAGGACATGCCATAATTCTCCACCTGCCTAATGATGACTTTCAGGCTTTGATCTCCTCGGGAGTGTATCTGCAAAACAAAGTCCTGGAAATGGGCTTGCTGCAAAGTATTCATTCTTCTTTAAAAACAAAAATTTTTTTTAGATGATGTGATTGACATTGACCTCCAAACAGACTGTGGCAGTTTACATGCCTAGCTATTTGCCCACACCCTTGCCAGCACTGAGTAAGAACAAGCTTTAAAGACACTTGTCAATGTGATTGGTAAAGCCTTTGTTGTTTAATGTGATTGGTAAAACTTTTGTTGTTTTAATTTTTATGTCATTAATGATTAGTGAGATTGCATATTTTTATTTTTCCTGTATTTACAGGCTATATTTTGCTGTGAACTGTATATTAGTGTCCCTTATTGATTTTTTTTTCTTTTGTGCAGTAGAACCATTATAAGTGAACTTTGAAGAGCTCTTTATTTATTTGGGAAATTAGCCCCTTTTGGGTCATATATGTTGCAAATATCATTTTACTTTTGTCATGCATCTTTTTTTAAGTTTTGCTTTCTTCTTTTTAAAATTTTTAAAATTGATTTCAGAGAGAGAAGGGAGAGGGAGAAAGAGATAGACACACCAATGATGAGAAAGAATCATTGATTGGCTGCCTCCTATATAGCTCCTACCAGGATTACCTGGTCCATGGGTCAACACTCAACCACTGAGCAACACCAGCAGGGCTATTTATGGTGATTTTTTGCGAGGCTTTACATTTTCATTATTGTCAAATATATCAACCTTTTCGTTTATAGTTTCTAGGCAGCTGTAGTTATGCAGGGATTTCTGTGTGTAAAAGACCTCTGGGTAGGAATCTCTGCTGTTTTGAGTGAAAATATGCTGGGAATACAGAAGAAGTATTGCAAGTGACCAAAAACCCAATTGAAGTCAACTCACAGGAAAAGGGAATTTACAGGCTCGTGTAACTGGAAAGTCTTGGCCCAGCTGGATCCAGGGGCTCAAAACACATCAGGATAAATGCTCTCTCTCTCTCCTTCAGTCTTCCTTCACATCAGCCTCACATGGCGTCCTCCCAGCCCCCAACTTGTATCATTCTCACCACCCACAATTCCTGTAAAAGCAGAATTTCTCTTTCCCCATCATTCTAGCAAAAGTCCCGGGGTTGAGTTTCATTAAATCAGTTTCAGTCAAGAACCCATCCCTGAACCAATGCCTGTAGTGAATGTGTTGACCATCCGGGCCTGGGGGTCAAGGATGGAGGTTGGTCAGGTCTCATAAAACACATTGACTGGCAAGTTCCCCAAAGCAAAAAGGACATCCTGTTACCCAGGTAGGGAAAATGGACGGAGGACAGGTCCAGACAGTAATGCCCTCAGCAGAGGTGCAGGTGGGTTGTGGATTCAGAGCCTCCCGCCAGCTGGTCACGTGTCCTTTCCCCCCTCAGAATCCCCGGCTGGAGAAGCCAGTGCTGCTCTCTGAGTTCTCCACCAAGATCCCACGAAGCGAAATGGACATGCCTGTTGAGAATGGCCTCCGGGCTCCGGTCAGCGCCTACCAGTATGCACTGTCCAACGGGGATGTCTGGAAAGTGCACGAGGTGCCCGACTATACCATGGTCTACAGCAGCCCCGGCATGGCTGATGCCACCCCACCCTGGAGTGGCTACAAGGAGCAGAGCCCCCAGACGCTTCTGGAGCTAAAGAGGCATCGGGCTGCAGCCAAGCTGCTCAGCCACCCCTTCCTGAGCACCCATCTGGGCGGCAGCATGGCCAGGACGGGTGAGAGCAGCAGTGAAGGCAAGGCCCCCTTGATCGGAGGCAGAACTTCACCATACAGCAGCAATGGGACCTCGGTGTATTACACCGTCACCAGCGGAGACCCTCCGCTCTTAAAGTTCAAGGCCCCCATTGAGGAGATGGAAGAGAAGGTCCATGGCTGCTGCCGCATCTCCTAGTCACCCTGTGACAGAGGAGAGAGATGCTTTGGGGAGGGGTCCCTGGGATCCAGGCCCGTCCTGGCTGGGAGGCTTCAGAGGGCAGCCGGGGGGAGATGGGCTCTGCTTTCCAGAGGAATGCTGACCCCACCTCTCAGCCAGCTGCCCATAGCATCGCCCCTTCCCACAGTCTGCTTCCTGCTGCATTGTCTGCCATCAGAAACAAGGCCCCTAGGGCCTTCCTGACTCACCCTGCTGTCTGATTTGGGGGAGGGAGGGCTGGGATTCCAGTTCTGTTATTGATAAAGGCTTCTTTGGAGCAGTACTCGCATGTCACATATCAACACACACACACACACACACACACACACACACACACACACACACACTTCATCAACGTGTATACAAATGACAGCTGGATTCATGGGAAGCAGGTGGAACAGAGCATTTGTGAGCTATTTCTGAGAGAATGATTGAGGTTAACACTCAGAGTTTTATCACCACTGCCAATGTGGCTTTAGCAGGGGAGGGGGCCTGCTAAGCTGAGACCCATAGTCCTGCCCAGAGTCCTAATGGGGTCTGGGCCACCATCCACATCTGACAGGAGCAGGAAGTGCTCTCTGTGCCCAGAGGAAGCCATGAACCCACATGGGTAGATGAAATGGACACAGACCTGCTCCCCACATCCTTGCTCATGCCAGGAAGTAGTTGTGTGAACGCCCAGGGGCCAAGGTGGAAAGCCAGGCTAATCTATCCCTGGAATATCCCAGATCACATTTTGTTTTTGTATGAAAGCATCCAAAAATGGAGGAGGTAATAAAGGCAGTATTTCCAAAAGTGAGTTTCATAAAAGCACTATTTAAGGCTGTAAAACTAGGCAGGAGGCAACTGAATTTGGTTGCTTTAATGGAGAATGTTATGATCATTAGGTTGTCCTGGCTCGTGTTGGAAAAATGAATTTAGGAGCTTCAGTTGGAAGGGCTTTTCCAAGGAGAGGGGTGCGTTCATGTTGGCATTTTCTCAGCCAGCCCCTTTCAGACTGAGCCATCAGAGTGAGCAGCGGGGGGCTGCTGCCTGCCTCCCCCTCCCCACTCCTAGAGTGAATGCTCAGGATCCCAGGCCCTGCTTTGCCAGGTGGCCATTGTGAGTTCCTGCCTGGCCAGGGGCCTCCCAGCCTGTCCCTGCTGGAGTGGTGACACGCCAGGGCTGCACACCCACAGCGCCCACGGCCAACACCCTGACCTGCATTCAGGAGAGTGTTGGTGGGGAGATTGGTCACAAGCCTGTTCCGTGCCAGGAGCCAGCTGTGTGACCACCCATTCAACTCCCCGGTGGGGCAGGCTGCCCATCACCTACCCACTGCATTCTCTCATGAGCCCCTTTGAAATTGTCGCCCGTGAGCTGGGCGCTATCCACTGGCTCAGCTAAAACCCATTGGTGTAACTAATGAGCAGGATTGTTCCCTGCTCTGGGCACCTTTTATTTGCCCTAAAACTACCTCCTTGGAGCTCTGAAGGTGCCCCCTAGGTCCAGATTCTGCAATTTGGGGGACAAATCTGGGTTCCCTTTAGCCCTCTTCTTTCTGAGCCTATGAAAACTCTCTGGGGGCACCTGGGCCAGGGGGCTGCAGCTGGAGAAGTTCCCTTTGTGCCACAGCATTAGAAATGGGTCTGCTGTTTGTAAGCGCCACTGTGGTCCCCACACACGCCCTGACCCGGAGAGGGAGCTGGCTCCCTCCGGGCCTGGCTGACGCTTTCCCAGGAGTAGGGCAGCTGGGCAGGAGAGCACAGGGCTCAAGGGAGTCATTATACCCCTGGTGGCTCTTGTATGCAGGGAGGGTCACAGCACCGGGCCCGCCCTTCCCCCCAACTCCAGGACAGTTCAGTCTTGGGTGGAGGGGCAGGTCAGGAGACTCCAGACGTGTATGTGATGCCTCCCATGTCCCTGGGGTCTGGAGTGGTCTCTCCATCATCTCAGCCAATGGCCAGAGCAGGGCAGGGATATACTTAAAACAGTGTTCAGATCAGACTAACACCGAAATTCCTTTTGAGCCAACTTAAGCTGTAAGCTGGGGAGTGCCAAGGGAAGCCACACACTCCTCCAGAGAGAGCTGGGCAGGTTTTTTGGATATGTTTACTCAAGGCCCAGAGACTGGAGGCATTTATTGCCCACTCTAAGCCCTCTGGCCATCCCCTCCTCCCCTCTTACTTCCCGCCTCCTGGGCTGTTCCTCTCTACCCAGAAGGCTGCCAATCCCACTGATTCCCCAACAGGAGACAACTCAAGACTCTTGAGCACAAGCTCATATTTTCAATCAGGGATAAACCAGTCCCTGTTGGGGCTTCCAGTACTTGGGGTACTTTTCCCATAGGTCTCTTGGATGTTGAAGGACAAGCTGGGGCCAAGGTCATCCATTTATTCACATGTAGTTTATTGAGTAGTTGTGACATACCAGGCACTAAGTTAGGTTCTGGGGCATAAGGCAGGACAAGGTAGTATGAGGAGACTGCTCTTATGGTTTTCATCCCTCGAGGACTATGGGACAGCAGCAGCCCATTCAATTAATCTGAGATAGAGTGACTGCATCCTGGTCCAATATCCCTAGGTCACATTTGCCACTAAATGCAGACGCTGGATCTTGGGTTCCAGGCCGACACCATCCCAAGTCTATATGGAGCTCTCAGGGTTCCTACCTGCCTTCAGGCCAACATCTTTGAGGCACTATATAATAGCAGTTTGAGGTCAGTGTCTAGAAGAATAAGGATTCTGGAATTTGCTGCCAAATGCATCTCAGGTTTTAAAACTCATGGTCTCTTACTCCTTTTTGCTATTTATTATGTAATCTTCCTGCTCCACCAATGGATAATGGGAAGAAAAAGCGCTTCTCCTTTAACATCGAAGCCTTTCCTCGTGAATTGCCTCGCTTTTGGGCAGGTGTGGGCCAAGGAGCTGGAAGAACGCTGGCAAGGTTGACCAGATGCCCAGCTCTTGCTGAGCCCCAGGTCTGGTGGCAGCTCCTGGCCGATTGAAGGAGGCTACTTCCAGACAGGTGCCACGTGGCTCACTGTGAGCTCTGGCCCTTGCTCTCACTCCACCCTAAGCCCCAGACTATTGAAAATTGGTGAGTTTCTGGCCAGTAACTCAGGGAAGCTGAATGAACCCTAGACTCAAGTCTACTAAGGACTTCCGGATGTAGTTCTCCATCAGAAATGCAGCATCAATGAAACTGCTCTGCACTGTTCGATCAACTTAAATGGGTTTAGAAAGTTAACAAGGCTATGTCCCCTGTTCTATCTCACTGCAGTGTGTTGGCTTTGTAGTAACTTAAGACTATTTGGATTCTTGGGGTCAGACACTTTTTGATCTCGAGCTCTCTCTTCCACCTGCTTTCCCAGAAGGCGCTCCCTATAAGATGCTCAGAAGGACTATATTTAACTCTTGCTATTGTAGCCTGGGGACAACCTTCCCACCCCCAGGGCACAGAAGAGCAAAGGATCCTGTGGTCAGTGGATAACTCCGTAGAAGTGATCCCTTTGCTAAGAGCTATAGCCCTCTCCTTGATAGGAGTCTCTCGCTGGCCAGTGGGCCAGAGGACCTGCTTCCCACGGGCATGCAAGTGCCATAGTGCGGGGCCTGGCTCTGCACACCCAGGAACTGTCTGCAGATCCCCAGCCCTCCGCAATAACTCACCAGACCAGAAGCCACCGATGTACAGAGAACAATTAAGAAAAATGTATTTTATGTGAAAAAAAGTTAAAACTCTGTATACTGTATCAGCAGCTTTGTGTAAAAAATGGCAATCAAGAGAGTCTAATATATTTAAAACTTTTTTAAAAAAATATATCCTCAAGGATCTTTGATATTGTATTGAAGTAACTTTCAGGTAGCTCCTCACCACCCGGCAGTGGTGGGCCTCGTGTCCAAGACCATGGCCCAACACATTCCAGAGGGGCATGCCCCTGGAGTTGCTTCCAGCTGCCAAGGCCTGTGACGGAATTCGCTGTTGAGTTTTTAATTAAGATTATTAAATTCCTTTTAATAACACTTGTCAGTGTGGCTGTGGTCATTGTTGTGAGCTCTCTTGAACTGCGCCTGAATTCACAAAGGGATGATGCCTGGAATAGAGATTAGGGAAACCCTACCCCCCCCCCCCCCCCCCCCCCGCCACACACACACACACAGAGCACTCTGCCAGGAGGCCCCAAAAGCAGAGGGAGCTCTGAGGCCTTAGACATGAGATGTCTTTCTAGACTGGGAGATGGTGAATCCTGGTGAATTCAAGAAAAGGTAGGTGATTGGGAATGACCTTCACTCTGTCAATGCTCTCCTTGGAATGAACATTGGTTACACTTTCAAAGGTTTGTCTGATGATATATTTATACATACCAAGGCTGCCCTCTGTTCTGTTCTTTTCTGTTCTTGGAAGTGCACTATCCTCTTCCCCACCTCCCACGCCAATCCTTTCCCTCATATAGCTGGTAGTGAGGAGGTAAAATGCCATGTACTATCTCACATTACAACAACACAGCAGGTGAAACCCTGATTATTTTTACCTTTCCCTCAGGCGATAGAGACATTGGCAAGTTATGTGGTTGCACAGTGCCAGGCCATGGACCTTATCTTTGTCATTTGCAGACACTTGTTGGCATCTGAGAAGAAGATGGAAAGAATACTTCCTTAGACTCTTCTGTACATGGGGTGCTAGAGCAGAGAGGCATGGAAGGCCCCACACCTGGGCTTGGAAAGCTTCAAAAAACGGGTTGGGATGGGGAGAGGATGGGCAGAACAGAAGTCTCTTTGCCACAATGGGCATTCATCCAGTTTAAAAGTTCATTGGTTTCTAAATAATGATGGTAATCTGTGACACTTAGGAAGCACTTTGTAGTTGTATATATGCCCTCTCATTTACACATGGAAAATGAAATTGACTATTGGATTTAGCACTGTGGAGTTCATGATGGCCTAGACAAGGAGGCATAAGCTTGATTTGACAGGGATCAAGAAAGAATGGCAGGAAAACTGGACGACAGCGAATATGCACAATGCTTTTGAGGTTTTAATGTTATCAAAATGAGCAGAGGAATGGGAAGGAAGAAATGCCGTAGGGTTGAGAAAGGGTTGTTTTAAGATGAAAAATATTTCAGCATATTTGAATGCTAATAGGAATGAACCAGTAAAGAAGGGAATGAGATGATCCCGGAGAGAGGAGAGAATTGCTGAAGAGATATAGGTGAATAGTTGAGGGGCTGGCAACTACAGCCCAAATGGAGGAGACTGTTGATCAATAGCAGCAGAAGGCCCAGTATGTAGGCAGAGACGAGGATATGATTAGAGCATGTGGAAGTTCTATTTTCCCAGCGAAATGGGAAGCAAACTTTAAGAGTAAGAGAGAGGAAAAGGTAAAATGAATGAAGGGAATGTAGGCTAGCAGGCATGGGAGATAATAAAATTTAAAGCACAATTAGTCAACCTGCACAACTAGGTGCAGGTGGAAAGTAGGTGGTGCGTGGGTTGGAGTTTTGCCAGGCAAAAGCACAATGAAGTGAGAGAGGAGAAAGCTACCTAAGGGTGAATGCATGATTCAATGCAGGAGACTTGGCTGGTCACGCCCACGCTCTGAGAATCCAGGAGCACCACCGTGGCCAGTATACCTGGGGAGCAGGCACCTGCCTCTCCAAGTGCCTAGGTCTGATCGCCGGCAGGGGGCGCGCTAGGATGGCAGGGGCTGGGCTCTCCGGCTTCTGCTCGGGCTCCGCTGCCTGGGCCACCACCAGGGGGCCCCGCGGCCATCAGGCCTGCCCCTGCTTTAGCTGTCTGTGAAGAGATCCGTGCTCCGCGGGGCCCGCGCAAGAACGACTACCCTGGAGCAGCAGGACAGAGTCGCCCACATTAAGTTCCATGAACCAGAGCAGAGCTGGACCTCTGCAAGGAGCGGAGACTTGGGGCGGGGCAGGGCGGGGCGGGGCGGGGCCGGGCCGCGGGGCAGCCAATGAACGTTCAGGGGCGGGCCGTAGCGGCGTGCCCTGCGTCCGCACTCCGCCGTTAGGAGCAAACAGCCAATGGGAAGGCCGGGGCGGGGCGGCGCGGCCAATGGCGCGGGCCGGTTTGATTCAAAGGGGCTATAAAAGCGCCTGCCCTGTGCTCCGTCCCCCGAGCTCCGCAGGGTCCGAGCGCCGCCATGGCTCTGCTGCCCGAGGGACTGGACGAGCTGCCCGCCGCCTGCCTGTCGCCGTGCGGGCCGGCCAACCTGGCCGAGCTGTACAGCGAGGCGCAGCGCCTGGCGCTCGAGGAGCTGGTGGCGGGCGGCCCCGACGCCTTCGCGGCCTTCCTGCGGCGGGAGCGCCTGGGCCGCTTCCTCAACCCCGACGAGGTGCGCTGCATCCTGCGCTCGGCCGAGCGGCCCCGCGAGGAGGGCGCGGCGGCGGCCGAGGCCGAGGACTCGTTCGGCTCGTCGCACGACTGCTCGTCCGGCACCTACTTCCCGGAGCAGTCGGACCTGGAGCCGCCGCCGCTGGAGCTGGGCTGGCCGGCCTTCTACCAGGGCGCCTACCGCGGCGCCACGCGCGTCGAGGCGCACTTCCAGCCCCGCGGCGCGGCCGCCGGCGGCCCCCACGGCTGCAAGGACGCGCTGCGCCAGCAGCTCCGCTCGGCGCGGGAGGTGAGTGGCCCGGCCGGCGCCCCTCGGGGCGGACCGGAGACCCTCCTCGGGAATGGACAGCTGAGCCCCACCCCGCGCATCACCCCTTCCAAGTCCTGACCTCCCGAACCCCCCATCTCCTGGGCCCTCCTGGCGGCTGGGGAGAGAGTGGCAGGAGTCCCGGCCGCCGAGAACCGAATTGTGCCCGAGTTCCAGCTCCTGATAGCCGCATCTCCTGGGAAAGGGGACCATCCATACCCCCGTTTCCAAATCTTAGTTAAACCAAAACCAGATGGCCCCCTTTCCGGGCTGCCAGCCAGCACTAGATCCCGCTTGCTTCCGGGGCTGCCCAGGAGTTGCTTCACCGAGGGAAAGGTTCCTGAAGGATCGCCCCCAGAGGCAGCCGTGGGCCCGTGGGAGTGTATTGTTGAAGGGCACCTCCACCTGTCGCACACTGCAGACGGCACACACAGGGGCGGCGGTGCATGCAGAGCTCGGGAAAGTTCTCCCTCTGTGAATGGGCGGGGCAGGGAGTTGACTTTTCCCAGGCCGGATGATGCCCCCGTTTGCAGTGGCTCCAGAAAATGCAGCCCCTGCACCAGGCCGACTCCGCTCACGGCGGTTTTGGTGCGGTTGTCGGGCTCTTTAGTGTGTGACATGGTGTGGGGTGCAGGGGGAGGGAGGTCTCCTCTCCTCTCACCGGCCAGGATGGGACTGTGGCAGGTGCTTGGTACCCGGCAGTCAGGGAGGAAGAAGGCAGCACACAAGGCGGGTAGTCTCGGCCAGGAGCATGGCAGTAAAGCACGAGGCCTTAGTAAGACTAGCCAGGGTGGCAGAGTGTGAGTGTGAGTTACGATATCTGTGCATGGAGTCTAGTTGAGGTAGCCAACTCCAGGAGCAAGCCCCAGGTCTCCCGTGTTCCTGACGCTGGCTGCTTTTTTTTTTTTTTTTTTTTTTTTTTTTTTGCCTGATAATGGGGTTGTGGTGGGTAGGAGATAGGAGAGGTCTTTGAGGGAGTAGATGAGCGCTCCAGCGAGGCCAGTACCAGCTCTGGAGTGCTTCCGGTGGGCTGAGGGTCCTTCTGATGCTGCAGACACGGGGCTCAATGAGAGATTAAGAATATCGAAAGGGGCTCTCCATGGTGGGGTTGGTGTGCATTCCCAAAGCTCACCTCCAGGATGAGAACCTGGGCACTTGGAACTTGAGAAAAGGAATGAACAGGTCTCCATACAGGAGAGAGATTGCCCTGGCCCCGTGGTTGGCAAACCACATGCGGCTCTTTGGCCCCTTTGAGGGTGGCTCTTCCACAAAATACCAGGGCCTGGGCAAGTCTATTTTGAAGAAATGGCGTTAGAAGAAATTTAAGTTTAAAACATGTGGCTCTCCAAAGAAATTTCAATCGTTGCCCTGTTGATGTTTGGCTCTGTGGACTAAGGAGTTTGCCGACCGCTGCCCTAGCCTATTGCCCAGCTTTAATTGTTAGTGGTACTGAAGGGGCACGGGAGCGAATGCCAGAGGGAAAACTGTCTATAGATTCTTAGGCTGGCGCTCAGGCGATGCTGTGCCCTGGGGCATTCTGTAATGCTGCCGTTCCTGGCGAGAACCTCCTGTTCCATGCTGTGCTCCAATCCAGCCACACACTAACATCTGTAAGAGTCTGTATTTGGAACCTGGGTGATTTTTAACTGATAACTGGCACATCACCTTTAAAATTGGGAAGTATTTTCAGTGTCTCTCTCCCCTCTGCCCAGTACTCGCTTTTTCAGTGTCTGCTGTATGTCAGACACTGTCAGGGGCTGGGGCCACAGGCGGAGGGCATGATCCTTGCCTGTGCTTGAGAATTGACAGTCTGCTGGTGGGAAGCAGTGAGGTTGCAGATGGGAGTTGGGGAGGGGCTTTGCACACTACTTGAAGGGGCATTGGAGCCCTTGAAGGTTTAGAGGGAGGAGAGCAGCATGATCAGTTTGGTGTTCCTGCAGTAGGTGGGTGCGTTAGAGACTGGTATCCAGGGTGGCTGTAAGGAGGGGACCAGAGGGATCTGTGTGTTAGAAGAAGGTGTGTGCTAATGAGGCAAGTCTGGGGCAGGGAGGTGAATTTTAGGTAGAATTGATAGGATTTGGTCATTAGATGGCCTGGAAGGATGGTGAGGGAGGGGGCAGGAGAGTAGGCAAAAATAAGAAGAAGGTATAGGAAGAGTTGAGGATAGAGATTTTTTTTTTTTTTAGCTTGATGCTACCAAATTAGAATACAGGAGAATAAGGCTGGAGGTATGGATGGGGAGATGAGTTGGATTTGAAACTTGCTAAATGTGATGTCTCAGAAACCATCTCTTTTATTTAAACAAACACACACACACACATACACACACACACACACACACACACACCAATGTTTTCTTGTGAGGCACTGTCCCATTTTGCAGGTAATGGAATTACTGAGATTTCACAACTGGTGAAGGACAGAGCCAGGACTCAAACAAAGGCACAGCATCTGTTAACCATTGTCAGCCACCTCACTCTGCCTGTGCCATGTGGAGATAAGGGGCCATTTTTGTCCTCAGGTGGACAGAGGCTTATGAGGGAGACAGGGGGATCAAACCTGTAACCCAGGCATATGCCCTGACGGGGAATTGAATTGTGACCTCCTGGTTCATAGGTCTGTGTTCAACCACTGAGCCACACTGGCTGGGCTGCTTCAGACTTTTTGAAAGCAGAGATGTTTGCTTCCTAAGGAATTTTCAGGGTAATTTTGAACTATATAGAATTATCCCCTTACACTAAGGTGACCAGATCGTCCCGCTTTTGGTGGGACAGTCCTGATTTTCAACAATTTTTCCCGCGTCCCATGGGAAAATTAAAAAAAAAAAAAAAAATCAGGACTTTTTTTTAAAAGGCTGTGAGACGCGGGAAAAATTGTTGAAAATTGAGACTGTCCTGCCAAAAGCGGGACGATCTGGTTACTCTACCTTACACACCTACTCCGAAATCTATTCCTGTACTAGTGTATTTTTTAAATGTTTGTTGGTTGGTTATTTCAGAGGGAGAGGGACAGAGAGATAAGAGAGAGAAACATCAATTGGTTGCCTCCCATATGCACCCCGACTGGGGATCAAACCCTCAGCCTGGATATGTGCCTTGACCAGGAATAGAATTTGCTGACCTTTTGGTGCATGGGATGGCACTCAACCAATTGAGCCACACTGGCCATTGCTATTGTATATTTTAAAATATCTATTTTTATTGACTTTTAAGGAGAAGGAGGAGAGAGAAACGTTGATTGGCTGCCTCCTTTATGCCCTTACCAGGGGCATGCACTCATTTGGCCACGTGCTTCTGCTCTGGCTGTGGGGCTGGACCTGCGTTCTGCATGGGCAAAGCCCATCTTCCCAGGAGGCTCCTCACTCCTCAGAGCCATCGTTCTTAACAGCTGCCTATTCCGTTTGTGCTTTTGCTTCAAAGAGGCACTTTTGCTGTGACTACATCCGTGGGTATCCTTCTGATAACCTGAACATTAGTAGCTGCTGTCATTGTGTTGACCATGAGCCCTGCCAGGACAAGCGGCAGCTGAGGAATCTGTCAGAGGCCGCTGGTGTGCACGAGGTTGTATCTGAATTAAGGCTTTCCTGATGTTGCTCAACTCTCCTCTGAGTTACAGTAGAGCCAGTTTCTGTTCCAGATGCTCAAATCAACATAGGGCAGGCTTTTTCAACTTTGCCACTGTGGATATTTTGGGCCAGATAATTCTGTGTGCCGAGGGGCTGGCCTGTTCATGGTAGGGTGCTGAGCGGCATTTCTTCTTAATTGTGGCCAAATATACATCACAAATTTACCGTTGTGTTTTTTTTTTTTTTTTTTTTAATGCTTATTTTCCCCCCAGAGAGGAAGATAGAGGGAGAGATAGAAACACCAGTGAGAGAGAATCATTGATCAGCTGCCTTCTGCACAACCCCTACTGGGAATTGAGCTGTAACTCTGGCATGTGCCCTGACCAGGAATCCAACAGAGATGTCCTGGTTCAGATGTTGATGCTCAACCTTTGAGCCACACTGACCAGGCAAACATCACTTTTTAAGTGTACATTAAATAAATTACATTGCTGCGCAACCATTATCACCACATATCTTCAGAACATTTTCTCCTTACGAAATGGAAACTCCGTATCCTATTGAAGTCCCTATTCTGTCCTCCCTGCCCCTGGCAACCACTATTTTATTTTCTGCTTGCCATTTCATTTCTTTATTTTTATTTTTCTCTTTAAACCCACCAGAGAAGCTGTGGATTATTTTGTGGGTAAAGGATAAGTTATCTCAAGAAAAAGAAGTAGTGTGTATGTGTTGGTTTTCTAAAACTTCTGATGCAAATGATAGAACCTCTGCGCTGGAATTTGGTGGCAAAAATATGAATAAATATATGCAGTAGGTTATTTGTTGTAGCATTAACTTAATAGCAAAAGCCCGGAAGAGCTCAACACTTCCTGGGGAGCGTTGGTGAGTATACCTACTCTTCTACATAATGGAGTGTCCTGCTACTCTAAAAAGGAATGGGGACTAACTCTCATTTTTTGATATGAAGTGTCTAGAACTTCAGTGACCAACACGGTAGCCGTTAACCACAGGTAGCAATTTAAATTTATATGAATTACGGTGAAACACGATAAAAAGCAGTTCCTCTATTGCACTAGCCACATTTCAAGTTCTTAATAGGCACGTGTGGCTAGTACCTATCTTGTTGGGCAGCACAGACACAGAACACCTGCCATCTCAGAAGATTCTGCTGGACAGCACTAACCTAGGACAATGTGTATCATACCTACAGCCTTTTATCTTCACAGGGATATGAACACATTCACACATTTTATTATTATACTCATACTTGCTTATATTAAGTATGTTTAAGCATGCATACACATACACATTTTTATTTTAAAAAGTGGAAGAATAAACTGAAAACTAATTGAAATTATTATCTTAATGGGGAGGGAGGAAAGGAAACAGGAGGGAAGGAGTAAGAATGTAATTCAGG